TCAACACTGCGTCCAAGTTTAGGACAACGGCAACGACCCACCAGGCCCAGTGCCGATCTCCAACACCTTATCGCTCCGGTCTAGACTGACAGGAGCGAGGAGTATCCTGTTCTCGAACAAGCTCTTCAAAGTATGATGCTGGAGTAGCAGTCTGCGGTCCCTCAGCCGCATACCTCGAGGGAAGAGGGAAACATACCTTTGCCGCTCAACATCGTCGGTTGGAAGCGCATATTTGGATCCAGGATACGCCTGGTAGGCGCGAGGGGTGTGTTTTATAGACGACACGCTCGTCTTTGGTGAAGTGATTGGGCAACTCGCGTATCTGTTCGACTTCCAACATTGGAATAGCCCGGTGGCACCTTGGAGGTTGCGTGGCCTATACGATTATCTATGAGGTCTTTTTTCATTCTTTATTCACAGTCACAGTCCTCGGTCTGCAAATTTGGGGTACTCCCAAAGTCGCAGTCCCCGGTTTTGGTGTACTAGTCGCTAGTCGCCGATATCAAAATTCCGGCAAGTTCGGGTTCAAAGTCAGATGATCGTAGTTTTAAGACCGTAAACCTTAGTCTCTAGTCCTCAGTCACGGCTTATCAGCACAGAATATCCTGCTTCAAGGCTCTGTTGAAAGATTATGAACTCCCATCCACACTGAACGATGGGCAAGCCATCTCGGAGGCGGATTGGCCGAAGCGGCACCGATGTCCTAAACGGGACATCAGCCCCTATGTTCAGCTTGCACTCCTTTACAAAAGTTTCTTGATGTATGAGGGCCTGGGGAAAATTGGGAAACTGTAGTCCTGATCGCTTCGTGTCTGGTGACCACAATGTAAACCTTGAGGAAGACTTACTGTCCAGTAAAATAGCTGGAACCTTTCCCCGCACTGTGATCTAATCCTCGAAAATTACCCTTGCTTCAATTCACGGCCAGAAGCTCCCAAATAGAGGATTGCGAGCCTCGGAAACTTTCCCCTGAGCGATGCAGCAGTCACTGTTCGATAATGAGGGGACGAAACACACAATCTTGTTCATTACAAGCGCGTGGGAAGACGTGGTGGCTGTGATGCCGCTGTGCCGAGATCAACGTCAAACCAATCCAAGTCACTAGTCTCAAGTCCCCGTAGTTGAGGACTTTGGACCGTGGACTTAAGAATGCCGAAAATTGTGGAGAGGAAGTTGAGGAGAGTTGGACTAAGGACAACAATAAGTATGATCTAAAGACTTGGACCTCGCACAAAACGTGAGAATAAAGAACGATAAATAATGCCATAATTATCTTCCCTTTTATACTGGGGCCTGCTTTCCCTCCGCAATATCCAGCCACCTGTTACTTGCGTTGTTCGTGTCAGTTTCAACGTGATGGACAAACAGACATGATCAATGTTGCTCGGTTGAAGACTCTCCCTCGGCACTCCTTATCCTGCGTCCTATCCTACATGTAGTTCACCTCATGATCAGTTCCGCGTCGTACATATTCCCCCATTCGACTTTTTTTTCGAACTGCTGACATCTGCTGGATACTGGGGAAGCCGAAGTCGCGGGCTCAACGGATTTGAAGCCTTTCGTTCTCCCCTTTCGACCTCATCGGAGTTGCCAAAAGGTGGGCGGTGCCTTGTGGGTCGTGTCCCTCGAAGCCCTGCTCAGATGAAACATGTGGTTCAATTTGTCTGTCTGTCACCCCAATTACCCAGTGCGACTTCCCGGGACGTCACCCGCTATCCACATATCGTCGACTCAAGACCACGCGACTCCCTGGCACCAATTTATCTGGACAGCGCTCGAAAGAAATTGTTGCTTCAAGTGCTGCCGACGCCGCTTGTCGAAGCTGCAGTCTGGGTGTTGCGAGCACCTGGGGAACGTCGACTTGCCATGTCTTCATTTACCGCTCTGGGTTTCATGTCAAGGACTTTGGTCGAGGATTATCCACTCTCAGGAACTCCATCTCCCCGCGATCGGAGGAACATCCACGTACACTGGGAACTTCTAACACCGGGTTTCAAGTTCGGTGTTTGGCATTGGACTTGCTTGCAGAACCCCGTTCAACTCACATTGCGCATCTGTATCTATACTAGAACTCTCAAAATGAACTCGTGTCCTTCACTTATATACGGGTAATTTAACAATTTAACAATGTGATATTCATCTACGTATATAATACTTAGGTACGGATACCTCGATGAACCCATGAGACGACGAGAGAGAGGAAAACGAGTGTCGTAAGTGTCGTAATTCTCCACGGTCCGCCGCCCTCCCCCTCTTTCAAAGGGTCTTGTCCTTTGACCTGTCTAGTTTAATCTCGTTCATCGCCGGCACCTGCCTACGGAATCTCAGTAGCCTGGAATCTCAGTAGCCTGGAATCTCAGTAGCCTGGAATCTCAGTAGCCTGGAATACACAGGTCAGCCACTCTTGTCGTTATATGGCGATTCAAAGTACGATAATTTTGAGCAAATTGTTCTGCCCAACATCCGATGCGGACAGAATAAAAGTAAGCCGACCAACCATCGTCAAGGCATTCCGTTTGCGACGCGGATAGCCAGCCATTCGACAGCAACCTCTGCGTATCCTGCGTTGCGCTTCTCATTATCATAGCCCTTCGTTATGGCTGGGTAGAAGCGTAGGCGGGCAACATGCTGGTCGGTCAGATTCGGGTAGAATGTGGCAATATCTGGCCTCGAGATCCGCTATAAACGCTCATGTCAGAAGATTTCCTTCGCCGTTTCATGAAATTTACATGTTTAAGGATAGCTGTGATAGCGTTCGAATGGCTGCCATAGCGCTCTGCCAGTGCCTTGAAGAAAGCACCATTGGCTTTCTTCTTCTGAGGCGCCGTAGCCAGATGATTCAATCTACGAGTGTATGGCGCGTTGGAATACGTGGGAGCAATGACTTGTACCCCATTCTTGGGCGTAGTGCGTTTTTGAGAGATCTCCGTCGACCATACATCCGTGCTGTGGTACAGACGTCGTAGTTCCGAGGAAGTGGCTGAACAGCTTTATGTCAGTCACGGACAACAAGGAACTTGGACGGAGTTCACCTGCTAGAGCAACATGCTCTCGGACTCCAAGACAAGGATCAGCGAGAATAATGTCCATAACTTCTCGAGGGACAGACAGACTCCAGGAGCCACTGTCTTCTGCTTTCACGCGCTCTTGGGCATAATGGTAACGAGCTTTCCAGGCAGCCCTAAGCAGAGGGTCCCTGCGGATATTGGCTTGGGTTTCAGGAGATACCGGGGAATTCGACCCAGGATAGTACTTCAGGTATGCCTCGGGGTCATTCTTGGACGTGTCTTTGGGCATGGGGAGAGATTTGAAAGGGATATGAGAGCGTTCTCTATCAAGGTAACTAGCAGAGGATGATGACCAATATGTTTGACCAAGTGGTATGTTCTCTAATGTGCGATATGTATATACAGAACCAAAATTCCGTCCTCTGTACAGCCCGAATAAATAGTAATTTCTACTCGCTTTTAGTCTTTTCGGCCCCGTTCTGGATTGCGTCAGTCTGTTTTTTGGCAGGAGCAAACCGCTTTCGCAATGCAGTGATCATCTTCAGGATCCTTCGGAATATGCTCGAATCGAGGGGTCATCCAGGAGAAGTGGCCACGCACCAGAACCAGTTGAGGCCTTGGAGCAGCACATTCCCTATGCTTATTAACGCGAGAGCTGTGTTTGAGATGTCTTGCCTTCTATGGTACAGCGTCTGGAAGAAGTGATACGACTGCAGGTTTTTGTTTACTGACCAGGTCCGGAGGAGCAACGTAGACGCACTGTGTAGCCGCCGTACAGGAGCCGCACGGAAAAGAAGGTCAAAATAAGGAAGAAGCCGTTGACAAGCTGGAGAGTGCCTCCAGTGCGATTTGTCTTGTCGAGTCCCCTGTGGAAGTTGAACACGCAGCCAAACGTACAAGGAAAATACTCTACCAATGGATGTTGAGAAAGAAGGTGCTTCTGCAAATGAGTTAGCACGATAGCTCACGAATCTTGATGGTGCTGCGTACGCTTCCCATAACAGGCATCTCGAGGCGTAGTACGCAAGAAACGGTTTCTGCCACGAGTGTCATTTCAGATACACGCACGACGACAGAGACTTACAAATGAGAGCAGATAGATTGCAAAGCATGCGAGGCCGTGCAGCACAAAACCGATGTCTTCGAAATTGAAAATGGCGTCAATCGAGTCCCACAGGAAATATCTACGCCGCGTTGAAGGAGCGCGTTAAACGACCGTAACCAGGACCTACCCCGCCGCAATGGCCTGTACCGTTCCGCTGTGTTCATGCCAGCCGTATACTCGGTCGGCGTCCAGCTCGGGCAGCGCGAGACACCGTAGTGCGAGGGGTACAGTGATCACCGCATGGATTTGCGAGCAAACGTGGACCGCCCTAGAGATGGACTGAGCACTCTTGCTGCTTGCGTGAGGCAAGTACACTACCAGTTATTCCGTTTGCGCGCCCCAATGCGCGCCCAGTAGGATGGAAAGAGAAAGCGGGCTATTAATGGGACCACGACCAGATGGATTGTGTTGAAAAAAGCAAATGTGGCGAGAAAGATGGGGAGATGGGGCTGAAGCTTTGGGAGAGCCTGGTCTATAGTGTTCCGGAGGTCCATGGCGGGAGGCGGCAAGAGATACGCGCCGTATTACACCGCCTGTGCATCGTGTTCGGAGAACCTGGAAGCAATCAGACTGCCGAGTCCGGCATCCCACGTTTCACACGAAACGCTGAATATCTCAATGGGCGGTGTTCGGTCGTTTTTCGGTCTTTGGCGATGTTGAGTTAGAGGCGGAGGAAAACAGATAACCGAGACAGAACCATCAAAACGGACTGTCACGCTGCCTTTGCGGAAATTTGGAATCATTAGGGTTAGGGTTAGGGCAAACTCTGCGCTTTCTTTTGTGTCGCGATTTCGTCAGCAACACGGCGTCCTAAATCACCAAAATATTTGGGAACATAGATGATAGATGAGGAGTAAGGGAACATTATTGGGTACCCCAAAAGAGCTGGGCCTGTCGGGGAATTGAACCCCGGACCTCCCCCATTGCTGGCCACGTGATGACCGAGTGTTAACCCGAAGGGAGAATCATGCTACTAGACCAACAGGCCATCCGCGGCAGTCCTCTGCATTTGTAGTCGGGAAATTATTTTCACTGCCACTTTTTCCAATCTTCTTGGCTGCCAATCCTGCCAACATATCACAGAACAGACGAAGTGCCATCTCATCTGAGATGCCCGGAGAATCCAGAACAACACACTCACCGAGAAAATAACAGTCCCTGAGTTTGAAGTCGCTATTCAGTATTAGACCGGTAACCGTTCTGTCTATGGAGCAAACTGTCGATAGACAGACCGGTCGATCTTTGGTCGATCTGGTCTTGAATTTGGATCATGCGCGGCGGCACCGCTTCCAAAGGGCGATGACGTCAAGAAAGCAACAAGGAAGTCACGTTTGATGCCCCGGGCATTGCCGGTCTCTTCAAAACCTTCATTTTTTGACGGTGTCGGTTATCTCCGGGGCATCAAACGTGCAATAGGCTGTGCCGCCGCGCATCATGGAAATTCAAGCCCAGATCGACCAGTCTGTCTATCGACAGTTCTTCTCCATAGACAGGCTGGTTACCAGTCTAATTCAGTATTGACAACTTGAAGCTGACCGGCGCGTTCCCAGTTTCCAGTTTCAAGGAAGCCCTGTCATGAGCACGTCGGGGCGTCCAGACGAAGGGTGCCAAGCAAGCAAGGCTCATCATTGTGCACACCGTGCGCATGCATTTAGCCTTGCAATCTTTCGAACCTAATTTTCTTCTTGTGTTGAAGACCGATTGCACAATGCGGCCGTCTCATAACCTGGAAAACGGCGACCGCGGGATGTCCTGATACTGGTAGACTAGAGGCCTGAAAAAACCGATGCAAGGAAGGTCGTGCACCTTCACGAACTTTGTTGAACTAATGACGATCGGCGGGTTTCAAGTTCTCGCTCTTCAACACTTCTTCGACCATCTTTCCCCTACCTTTTGTGCAGTGTTCAACGTCACCCATCTGTGAGTTTGTTCAACGCTGTCAACACGGTGCCCCATCACATCTATTCTCGTGTCCCCAACGCATTATTGACACTGATATCTCTTGGGGATCTACAAAAACTGTATTCAGCGTCCACGCGATGTTCTCCTTGGTCGAATATCTGCCACTTGCCTGATACACCATTCTACCGGGATCACTTCTCTGCACGCCTTACCCCCCAGCATGCGTGATATGCATGCGATATCTCGGACACCAGGTGTCCTTCACCCTGATATCCCACAGACCCCCTTCGTGCGGATGCTGAAAACCTCATTTTTCGGGCCAGCCGCCTGCCCGGCCGGCCATTTTCCCTCCAGCCTCGGGGATTCCACTTCCCGGACTCGTCGCCTCTATGCGGTTATAACATTCCATTACATTTGAACCACTGGGTACGGACCGTGCTCCTGCTCCAAGAGTTAATAGTAGCAAGCCACACCGGCGTATACACAATTTCCGTGGTGGTGCGACAATATGGTTATGCGTGCGAATTTTCTGACTGGAGGACTGGACACGCCCTTGAACACCAATGACAATCCAGCATGGCAATCTAAAAGCATTCACCGACCTGTCTCCGTCGCTGATTCTGTCACCCCCGCAGTTCTTCCTGCATTGATCACTCTGATCTCCGTGCTACGTGCGGACGACAGCTGGGTTGTTCTCTTCAGCTCTGCTTTCGGAGACGGTAAATATTTGCCACAAGCTTCACTGAAAACCATCCGTCCATGTCAGGCGACTTTTAATGCACAGAGAAGGCACACCGTCATGGGTCACCTCGTAGTTCTCGACCAGTCGCCAGCCCTTCTACACGTCCCCGGGCACTCAAATCGTGACCGTTCAATAGCACCCATCCCATGGACTAGGTAAGCGTTGGATTTTGTTTGGACCTCCCAGCGGCGGAGTTATGCTCCAAAAAACCCAAATGAACTTTAGTTACACGTCTCCCGAAGGCGCCGGGCTGCGATATTCTCAGCTGTCCTACCCCCGGAAGACGCCGCAGATTCGTGTCGACTCCTCTCTGGGCGTGTGCCACGTTGCGTGACCTCGTCTCTCGGCCGTTGCTTCGGATATTTTCGGCGATGGCTCCTACTGCTCAATCATTTACAACTCAAAGACCACACGAATTTCAAACCACCCCTTGTAAATGCAACAGAATCCCGGCCACCGCCTGACAATCCCCTGTGCCTGCCCGCCAAACTGGTGTCCCAACTTGGCTTGCGTCAAACAACAACGAGTCAACGACGCCCTCGAGATCATGATCAGAGAGGCCCGCCATCACTGGCATCGACGCGGTCCTTGAAGTTGTTTGTTTGCCGGTCGTTTACTGTCGCCCAGCCATCCTTGTACTCGAATTCAGACTAGGCTGGTGATGAAGCTGTCCAGTTTATGTATTGCGTAGCAGTCACGGTACCCCGGCCTTTTGCGAAGCCTTTCAACCAGTTCAATCCTTGGGTATTGATGTCCACCCTCGTCCGCCCGCTGGCAAGACCGACGCCGGCCGCCTCGGACCCCGTCAGGGTAATGCCCCGCCGTGACGCCCCTTGATCCCAACACGCGGACGCAATTTCGCTATCTCAATCTCAAATCTCGAATTTTGCTCGAGTGCAACTTGACTCGTGCGCCGCGGATTCAAGCTCGAGCCCTCCCTCATTCACCGACCCTCGTTTCTTGTCACCGTATCTGGCTATCTTCACCTACTCGTCCATCTGTCTTACCAGCTGCTCAATGTTCGTTTCTTTACTCACCCGGATCTTCTTGTGTGCATTGCATCCACGCGCCGTCACCAAGACTGGTACACTTGCGGTTAGGGTCAGCGTAATGCATTATACTCAACTATGGCGAAACTCCAATGCTCCAACAAGACATAATCAGTTTTCCTCCTTCCTTCCAGGCCGTATTTTTTGCTGATGTATGATAACGATTTTGCAAATTAAAGTGTCGACCTGAAGCATCCACAATAAATGTGGCACTGGCACCAGCGTTAGTGGCACGTCCAAGTTCACCGCGGGAACCACAATCATTGATGTTCTCCCCGCCCCACAACGCCCGTACGAAACGTCAACCCAAGCAGCGCAATGGTCCGACCGGCCTGACGGAATGTCAGAAAAATTGACACAAAACGCACAACAAATCCGCGCCGCCCGCCCGCGTCCCTCGCACAGCGCCCCACACCATACCGACTGATGATCGCAACATATGTTACAAGTCTACGGGATATACACGGACTGATTGACCTAGCTCCAGAAAGGAAATCCGGAGAATGGAGAGGACTCGGTGTTCAAGTCTATACGCCGGGCAGGGCGAAACTCGAGGAAAAGCCGACAAAATATCGCCGTTGTCGCCGTTGACGCGAACGAAAATCCGAAATGCGAGGAGAAATATATTGAAGCCCCCCCTCCCCCCCCCTCCCTCGGGAAAATATGTTTGGACGAGGAGGAACGGGGCTCGGACCGACCTATCCGGGTTTTTACCTCAACGAATCCGAGGCGCAGATCTGGCTGGACCTTTGACGCGAACGCGACGAATGATCAAGTTGAACTTGGATCGAAACAGGATTGTTTTGGCTCCGGGCAGCAATGTATACTTATCGAGTCAAATACTGTCTGTCCACGCAATGCAAAGCATGTAGATAGCAAATCGTCACCAGCTCAGAAAGCTCGTCCCGCACTTCCGAGCCCGAAGGACCTTGCTGAGCATAATATTTATCCTGGCTCTTATCCTGTAAGTACCTCATCCAGCGTAAGCATTGCCGCACATGCCGTATCGACGCGACGCGAATCCAAGTGAACGAATGTGTCGCGTGAAGTCTGTCGACGTCGCTTGCTATATTGCAGGTGCAATCTAACGCGATAACAACGCGTCGGGCTCTCTTAGAACCCCGTGCTCAAAGCGCAGCACCCACAATTTCAAATGGAGGCGGCGGGTCCTTATTGCGACTCGGATGACGCGACAAAAACGCCTTCAAGAACACAAATCAGGTCCGGAGCTCGATCCGCGCCCCCGAGCGCCGCATCGAGCGACTCAACACCCATCGGAATCGCACGCGCTCAAGACGACTGTTGAGTCGTCCGCGTGTTGCCTCGTTACTCATCTTCCTGCGGTGGCTTGGTCAATTCGCAAGTTGACGCAATCAAGGCGGACGCGGGAAGACGCGGACGCCGTTGGGACTCGGAGTTTCATCATACAACGCACCATGTTGTTTCGTCTCGGCCTGAATAAAAACTGGGACAACCCGTCGAACCCCGCACACTTCGGACAGCGCATCTCCGGAACGCGCGCCGTGCGCCGGTAGACCCGCCCGCGGCGGTCTTACCCTATCGGGCGTCCAGATTGCCTCATCCAGCGCAATGGTTTGACACATATGCGCGAACATCCGAAGAGGACGGGGGTTTCGGACCAGGGCGACTCGGCGCAACAGCGCCGACGCGATCGACATTTTTTTTTTCTTCGTTCGAGTCATCCTCAATTCCGAGTAGCTGTTGTGGTTGTGAAACGCGGGCGTCTGACGCGACGCGACGGCCGGAACGTTTGCAGGCCGGAGGCGCGGGAAGCCCCCCTTTCGATTCGTGTTTGCGATTTTGCGTGCCCGAAGTAGAAGAAGGCATTTGTTTGGGAAGAACGGAAGGAGGATTCACGTTCGATTTTGCGAGCTGCCCACCAAAGGAGACGCATTTGTTCTGGAAAATGGAGAGGCTGCCTGCCCCTTGATTCACGTTCGACTTGCGCGCCCCGAACAGCCCGAAAAATGGAGGGCTCTCGCGCATGGCTTCACGTTCGCAACGACGTCCGTGTGTGGAATCAGGAGAAAACCAATTGCGCGCACGGAGGAGTCAACAAAAATGAAGAGGCGCAAAGAGGCGCGCACGTTCCTCGACGAGGACCCTCGCAGCAGTCGACGAAAGAAATGGAATGAGAACGCAAAACGGCTCGGATGATCCGCCGCGTCTTGCCGGCCAAGGAATTTCTCGAACGCCACACGTTCCTGAGGCCCCTGCGCGCGGCGGTCTCAGGTCTGCCTCGACTCGGGGGCATTAGAACCCGCACAATATCGC